ACAGTTTGAGAGTTACTAAACTGTCTTTTACAGCATACAGGGAAAAAAATCTTTGCTTTTGTGTCATGAATTGACGGGAAGTATTTACATGTAGGTTGTAATCTGAGCAAAGGGATTCACCCCCACATAGTTATGTATGGGTGGTTGATCAGCAACACGGTTACCTGTAACTGGTCAGAGCCTGATTTTTCTTGGAGGTTCACCATGAAAGGATAGAAGCTAATAGTTGCAAGATGGGACATGCAAAATTCTGATTAAAAATAAAAATTCACAGTGAGGGTCGTTAAGCACTGGAGCAGATGCCCATGTAGGACGTGAAGTGCTCGTCCTTGGAGTTGTTGAAAACTTGGTTGGACAAGGTCCTGAGCAAAACTAGATCCAACTTTGAAGCTTACCCTGCTTTGAGCAGGAAAGTGGACTGAATAACGTCCAGAGGATCCCTTCCGACCTCAATTTTTCCATTATTATAATTTCAGCTCCCATCTGCTTTGTGGTGTTTTGCAGAGTAACTTGACTATGCCTCAACCAGCCCTTCCATCTCAGGGTGTAGGAGCAGGTTCGGTGCAGGATGTATAACTGTGGAGGAGCAGAGCTTGGACAGATTTTAGTATTGGAGTTTATTCTGAGCTGGGGTTGAGGCCTTGTGTTTTGTAGATTGGTTATGAACCAGTAATGGTTTGGACTGGGGAAATTGGTACCCACATCTGGAAAGCATATGGTGTGCAGAGCAGCTGTAGCAGGTATTGCGCTCAGAGCCTGGAAAATTAGTGTATCTACTCAGCAGGATGATGGTTTCATTCATGGCGTTTTCCCTCAAGAGAAATAGTTTCCTGAGGAGTGTATTTCCTCCTTTGCTTGCGTTTCTGTTTCTTAGAAGAAAAAGTGAAAGCTTTCATTAAAGAAGAGGTAGGTAAGCCTGGGTGTGCGTGGTTTGTCTCATGGCTGGAAGCAGCTGCACTAGTTGATCTTTACCACTGCTGGTTGTATCTGAGAACAGACTAAGGTTTGGTTTAGTCTCTTTTACAGGTTTTAAGACTTACGTTTCCCTGTGCTTCCCTCTGTTTCACCTTCACTAGATAAACCCTTAGAAATTTGACTTTTCTAATTGTTTCAAAATTTTTATTGGTCTCTTCTACACACTTTCAAATCTGTCTTTTTGGGTTTTTTTTTTGTTTGGGGTATTTTTTTTTTCCATTTAAGCCTCAGCCAAAAATGAGGAAGGGAGGGAGAAAGGGGGGGTGGGGTTTGAACTAGTGTATTTTTACATGGTTATGTGTTTAATTATTGTTGGTTTTGAAAATGTTAGTCAGATAATATGTTTAGTATTTTCACCCTCTCCCAGGTTCACCATACAAAGAGATGATTTAGCAGTCAGCAGGTTTAAGGGGTGGGATGCCTGACAGAGGGGCAATAGTGAGTAAATAGAGTCAGAGGATTTTGGAATGTCCTAAAGAAAACCTGCCATTGATAGTGTAAACCTTTTAATTAAGACATTAGTTAACCTTCCAGCCCCTTAGCTCTCAAACACTTGTTTCTCCTTGCTGAGATGGGAAGGGTGGGTCTCTATATGAAGAGGTAGAAATTTGCAGCTGAAAGGAGAGGTGCCTTCAGTGGGACCGCTAATTGCATGGGCTGGGAAAAGCTTGCCTTGGATACTTCTGCATGCTAGGAATTTGTATCTTAACACTTAGAAAAAGAACAGCTTTCCTCTCTATATGAACTATCCCCTTCCTCGATTATGAGAGTACAATGCTTAAAAGAAAAGAAAGTTGATCACTGGTTGTATTTTAATGTTGAGGGCTGGGGTTTTTTATGTGATCTATTTCAGTACTCTCTGAGGCATGTATTTCAGATGGTCTGCATTTAAAGAACTGAAAGATTGATTGGGTCACTTTAAGCATATTAACTAAGGTTAAAATACCTTGAATCATTCACTAGGTACTTAATGTACTTCATAAGTGTTAGTTTCTAAAAATTCAGAAAATATTATCAAAAGGCCATATATGTTCAAACACAAAACCATATCTAAAGCTATATCTTCACTATATTGCTTTTTATGTACTATCCTACCTTTGTATGAGATACTTCATATTGCAGCCATGCCTGAAGGTCTGCTATTAGGCATTACCTACACAAATATTTCAGGTGTTGCTGTAGTTGACAGGTTTGCAGTTGGCAGGTTAAAAACGCGTGATACATTTAGTGTGAATAAGCTCTTGATCTTCCCTTAATGTGGAAGAGGATGTCAAAATGCTGCTTGTCCTTTGGGCAGTGTGGCAGCAGACAGACGTTGGCCTGTGCAGGAGCTGAGAGGTCTTTGGTCTGGCAGTGGCGAGGACATGGATGCAGTCTCTTAGGCAGTCAGATGCTCGCTGCATCAACCTCTTGAGGAGAAAGTGTGCATCCCTACTGCCCTGACAACCAGACCGCATGTTTGCCTTGGCTGCTTGGCCATGCTTTCTGATCTTAAATGGGTCAAGCTTGGTGTTTATAGGAGAAGGGATTGAAAGCTGTTCCTATATCCTGCGGAGTGAGATGATGTGCGCTCCTTGGCTGCTGCTAATGGTGGAGAGGAGTGCACAGGCTCCTTGTTATCTTTTGGCACCTTTTGCCACCTTTACTCTGCCCTTTTGCCACTGGCTTGAGTTAAATCCCATTGTCACTTAAGAGATTGCATTCAGAAAAGAGGTATCTGAGGAGCTGTGGCATGACCACATATTATAGTCTGTGAGATACTGTTAGTTTAGGCTTCTTTGTGGGAGTAGCATTACATAAACTAAAAATATATGGATGTGTGTATTATACTCGGTGAAATTTTGTATTTCAATCTATACTAGTTGATCTGCATCCACCTGCAAACCTAGTTTTTGCCTTATCCCCTTTATGCTCTCATAACGGTGCTAATGATGTATCAAATCCATGTGTTTGAGACAAATGAAATACCCCATATGCCTACTTTTACCAGTCAGTCATAATCTATCTGAAGCTACAGATTGATTAGATGCTAGTGCCTCGAGTAAGAAAAACCTTGCACCATGGAGAAGAAAGGTTTTAATTTTAACACTGTATTTCCTATACTCATTTTCTTCATAGAACTGACTTTGCCCAAGTTGTACTTGCTAAGTAAATAATTCATGATCTGTAGTCAACAGGTAATGCCACAAAATTCTGCTTGGTTCCCTTCTGGTTTAGGTTGCATGAGGTAGAAAATTAAATGTACATAATGTATTATTCTCCTGATTTTTTTTTTAATGTTGCATGTTTTCATACATTAAAATGCATTATTCTTTTAGGAAGCTGCTCTAGGAAAACTTCCAAGAATTCCCATGACAGTTGGGTATTGCAGACTATGCAAGGTGCCTGAATCCAGGGATCTCAAGAGCTGACACAAATATGAAGATTTCCAAATTCCATGTAGCATTTCAAATTAAGAGTTCCCAGGTGTTCTATTTGTTCTGTTGCCCTTGAAGGAGCTCGATGCTTTGAAGCGTTTGTTTCTATTGTTCAATAGCATTTTCAGCTTTATACAGCAGCTAACCTTATTAAGCCTCTTTTCAGTTCTTTGGCTTTGTGAATCTTAAAACCACAGGAGATTCCACATCATCTGCTTTTAAAGTTTATGATGTGCTTTTTGTATTTGGGGTGCATATTTCAAATTCCTCTCACACTGAGTTATTTGAGAAGTAGCAAGATAACTGAGTGACACAGACCTTTACCAATTCTGTATTTTGAAGTCATTTTAGCTAGAAGCTTTCTTGGGAACAGTCTTGCAGTTTCAAAGCAAGTTTAGGAATTCCTTTTTCACCTTTGTTTGCCATGGCAACAGACTGTATGTGGTTTAATCCATCCTGTAAAATATTCTGGTTTGCCTGCCTTGTACAGTTACTTCCACTGTCTTTGCTTTTTGTTTCCTTGGCTCTAAAGAATGTTTCTTATTTATTGATTGCAGCTTATAAAATTTGCATAGAATCTGTTGTAAATAGTAGGAGAAAAGTACTGCTGGCTAGGGGGAAGCAGCAGTCTTTTACAGTGTCTAATTTTGTTTTTTTGTGGGGTGTTGGGTTTTGGTTTTTATTTTGTTTTATTTTAAGTCTGTGTTATATCCTACTAACGAGTGGAGACTTTCACACCCCCCGCCACATTCATAGGATCTAACACCACTTATTTCTGCAGGAAGTGTGGCACAGTAGGAGCAGATTTGTAGAGTATAACTGTTGAGGACGTGATAGCCACACAATACATAAATGGGCTAGCCATAATCTGGTCCCATGGACTGAAAGGTGACTGCTGGTTTAAGTGCACTGGTTTCATGTCTGGAGCACGCTTCAAAGGTTATTTTCATCTGAAAGAATCAAATGTACTCACTGAATACTGTGTAGTTTGAGTTACAGAGGACTGTCCAGAAGAGCAGGCTCCTGATCCAAACTAAGACATTAACTCTGACACATCCTGCATCTATTGCAATGTAACCTATAGAGCCATGGAGCTTTTGATGTAAATTGAACTTGCTCCTACTTTAAGTGCTGAAAGTCTGCAGTTTGTCAGGCTGTGTCAGTCAAGATAGTGACCACCAAGTACAAATAAGGTTTTTGATGTAAAATCCAAACTAATGATAGCTCATTAGTGGCTCTAGCTTAAAACGGCTCTAGTTTAAAGGAACAAAATAAGACACTTCAATTGCAATTTATTTGATGCTCTTTAGCCACTAGCAATGTTTGACTAATTCCGTAGGAGTCAAAGTTTTGAAATTGTGGTGGTTTTTGATAGCTTGAAGTAAAGCTTTTCAGTTTAATGTGTAAGCTATGTACAATAAAATGGCACTAAATTTCATTCTAGAATTCACTAGGCAGTTGTCCCTAGCAACATAACATAATTAATTGCAGAATTATATATTCCTAGAGCTAAAAGATTAAATAACAAAACTGTTATACTAAAAGAGTACTTGGATCTGTTTATATGCTAACTTTTGGAAACGTTTTCTGATGGTTGCAGGCAGCAGTATGGACCTGTTTGAAGATGTATCAGATGGTGAAGTGGATCATGCTTTCTTTGACAGTGATTTCGAGGAAGATAAAAAGAAAGCTGAAGAAAAAGGTGAATGTATAGAGAAAGGAAGTACAGACACAGCTCTTGCAGACCCTGATTTGGTTTCTAATTCAAAAGATGCGAAGTGTTGTGAGGAGGAAAGTGAAGAAAAGCAGAAAGATTTGCAGAAGGATCAGTCCCTAGAAAGTGGTGCAGATCATCTTGAAGATGCATCGCTTTCTCCAGTTGTGGAGAATGCAGGTACATCTGGAGTGACATCTGCAGCAAGCAGGGGAGCACAGGAGAATGTTCCTGCTGGAATCCCCAAAATAGTTAAAGAAGGTGAAGAAGATTATTACACAGATGAAGAAGATAGTAGTGACGATGGCAAAAACCAGAAGGTTAGGCCAAAGTCAGCTAAGCAGTCAAACAACGTAAAAAAGGCTAGCAAAAAATATACTAATATCAGCTCCTCCTCCTCTTCCTCTTCCTCTTCCTCCTCGTCCTCATCCTCAAGCTCAGATACAGATTGTTCTGATACGGATTCTGATAGCTCTTTATCGGATTCATCTCATTCTTCCTCAAAAAGGAATGCTCTTCTGTCTCCAAAATTCAAGTCAGCAATTAAATTAGCAGAAGGAAAACCAAAGCTTGGGGACTACTTGGAGGAGTCTGAAGACACAGTGACAGATGTCACACCTCTGTCAACTCCGGACATCAGTCCTATCCAGTCTTTTGAACTTGCAGCATCAAATGATAAGAAACTAAAAGTGAAAAGACAGGAAAATGTGAACCAAGAATTATATGGTAATTTTGAAGCATTTAAGTACAAAATAAAAGTTGTAAAACCTGCATGGCTGGGAATTCCAATCTTATATCTGTATTTTTTTCATTAGATTCTGAGTTTGATCGCAGATATAATCGAAAAGTCCTGCATGATGCCATGGATCTGAATCAGCTTTTGAAAGGTGACTTCTAAATTTTCTCTTTACAAAATATGACATCGGTACTTTGTTGAGAACAATTGGTTTCTAATAGAAGATATTGAGGTTTTAATGTGCCACATGTGTTTTAAGAACTGGTTTGTGATTAAGCTGTGTTGATCTAATGCTTTGAATTCTTACTTATGTAAATAGTGGTGATTCTGCAGTGGAAAGAAGCAGCTTGTGTATGAGCATGTGTTGGTATGTGCGTATACCTAGAAGTATGATACACAGATGGGGTGAATTGTTGAATAAGATTTGGTATATTAACAAACTGAATAATAAATTTGCACATGTATTTTGAGAAATCAAGGTTTACTGGGCTGTGCCACAATTTAAAGTCTAAATTAAAACACCAGCCTTTCTGATAAAATGCTGGCATATTGACCTTCAAAATTGAAAGGCCATCCAAAACTGCATTGCATATTCATATATTTGAACTTCTGTTACCTCTTTGAAACAGAGTTGTTTGAAATTCTTTTTCTGAACTAAGCATCTGCCTTCTAAAACACCATGAAGTTGAGTAAGACAACAGATAATCTGTACTAAACCTTGAGTGGTTGCTTCTTGCCAGTAGATGTAGTAAATTTTAATAATGAAGTCTCAGAGAGATAACTTGGTATCTCTTTCACTGCATTTATTGCAAAACTTCATTGTATGGGGTGAGAATGCAGTGGATTATCTCAAATCCGTATTTTAAGGTCTACATAGTGCTTTTGTGCTTGTTTTCATGGCCCAGAGTTTTCAGGAGTAAAACCTATAAAATAGGAGGCTTGGCTCAAGAAATCTGTGGATCTCAGGTGAGGAAAGCTGCTCAGTGTCTACATTGGGTACATCTCAGCCAGGTTTGCTGTATTGCAGTAGATATGGCATGACTAAACTTGCATGTGTCATCTTTCTTCGCTTTGTACCTTGCCAGAGTAAGCCTACAGTAAGTAAGAATTCAAAATACGTTGTATGCATCTTTTAATTTTCCCGTGAGTAGAAATGAGGACTTTACTTGTATGGAAATTTTTTGGTAAGAAAAAACAACAATTGGAAATTGTTGGTAAGAAAAGCAGAGCTAGCAATCAAGAAAGGTAGAGCTGAATCTCATTGCTGACAGTCCTTGTGCTCCAGGAACTCTTGCATACTAGAAAAGACTCCAACCACTTGTCAAAATATGTCATTAGAAGAGTTGTTGCTAAGCAATTGAAATTATGATGCCCTACATCTTTATTTGTCCTCCGGTGGCAAGAAGGTATTTAATAACTAGTGATTATGGAAGGATTCATCTCATCCCTAAAACAAATGGGTATTATAGCTCAGAATAAGTATTCTCAGAGATGGATCTCTGTTAGGAGGGGGGCAGTTTTTTCCCAAAACTGAAAAACAATTTTAAATAACAGTAATAAAGATTGAGTATTAAGAAGCAGAATTCATATAGTCTGGCAGCCAGTGTTCCTGATTAACATGCATATTACTCCCAAGTGCCTCTCTAAATTGGCACGTGCAACATAGCTTAATTACTTTGCGTATTTTAGAGTTTAAATGAGGTAGGATTATTAATGGTGGAAAGTAACTGGTCTGGGAAAGCAGGAGTTAATCTTATTGCTTCCAGGTTTTTCTATACATACTTAAAAAAAAAAACAAAAAGTGCAAATCGTTCCCCCTTCGCAAGTCTGCATGACATGTTCATCAGAACTGCATAGGCATAAACACTGCTTTGAGTAAGAACAGTATAATGCCAGACCTCAGTGCATGAAAGAGTTGTTAAATGATCATCAGGATGTCTTAAGTTTGGTTTTAAAGTGTAATACTCTTCTAGTAATCTATACCAATGAAGCATTTAAATTTTTTGTCAAATATGCATGTAATATATCTGGGCATAAGCATTTACAGCAGTTATGCAAGTTTAATTGCCCAAGGTCCTCAGAAACTTGCAGAACTTCAGTGTGATCTGTCACTGTGTTGTTTCTAGGGGCTGTGCATTTTGTACAGTTCTACGCATTGGCAGCGTGAACATTTGGAATCACTGCAATCTCTGATCTTAAAAAGAATCATGAGAACAAAGGAAGGAAAGAAATCTGTTAAAAGTGCATCATATTAAAAGAATGAGTTTTGGACTGGAACAAGTGTGGTTATTAAGCAGTGAGGTCGTTGATGTATCTTAGAATTAATTTGAAGCATTTAGAAAAAATGTTGCAATTAAATTAAAAATGAGCTGAGTTTTTCCTCTATATTACATGTCATTGATACGTATTTGTACTCATATTGCAAACTATTCATTTTTATAAGCATTTGAAAAATCATATTTAGATTTGAAAAATTTGTTGTGTCCTTACTTCTAAAGCTATTCTTGGTCTTGATAGAAGCCACATTTTAAGTTATGATACTGTGAATAATCTCACAAATAACAATTTTAGTTGGAAATCTCATAGTCTCTATGCTGTATATTGCGCTTTGAATGCTTTGTAGGTGAGTATTGCTGTGCAGCTTTATTGCAGATTCTAAAAATATTCTTCAGTGGCTAGAGCTCTGAACAAGAGATCGATGAAGATGCATGATAACACTTAGTTACTCCATCTGAAAGTTGTCATTTTATATGTGCTGTTACTGAAGTGAGCATTACCAGGTACTGCAGCTTGCTGTCCAGCCTCTGTTTGCCATATGGAAAGTAACTGAACTAGTTTTAGCCAAAATGGCGCAAATCTACTTGGTAACAGTAGCTGGGGCAAAGAAAAGATTGTGCTTGAAAATGGGAGAGGCAAATGTTGTCAAAGGCAAATAAAGCATGGGAATGTAGTCCTTATATTGGCATTTATTAGATGGGAGTCCAGACCCCTTTCAAAGGGAAAAGAAGTACAGTAAAATGTGCAGTTTCCAGAACCTGCAGGTTGTATGGCTGTATTGGCATGGTTTTGCCTACACACTGATGGAGGGGCATGTGAAAGCAGAGCACTCTTGAGCATGAAAAAAGACAGATAAATGTATGCAGTGAAGTCATGGCGGAGCCTTGGTGTCTGTAAGCTGCCGTGTTATGGCTTGGGGTGCGCACTCAGTGTTCCAGCAGTGGGAATGCTACCGCTAGAAACGGCAGGCCACAGTGAAAGCAGAGGTGGTGCAGGGTGAACTTGGGACTTCTTGGATTGATCTCTGTTGCTTGTTTCCAAATCAGTCCCATGGCAGTGTCAGGTGCTCAGTTCAGAGAGGCTTGGAGTTGAGGTGGAGGGAGCACCTCTCTGCAACACCCTCCCTGAGGAGCAGAGCCTCTCCACTCGTACTGAAGCCCTGTGGCTGCGCAGCCTGGAGTACTAAAACGAGCCTGGGTCATGTTATAATCGAGGTCCACCTGCATCATGTTGTTCAGGTTACTGGACTTAGTGATAACTTATTAATTATCCCCGCAATGTGCATAAAAATTCTTGGGTTTATCTGGTTTGGTAGCTGTGAACTGCTGAATTAATTGTTCTTGGTAGTGGTTTTACTTCTGTTCTGTTTGGGTGCCATGCTTATTTCCAATGTTTATAAATGCTAAATATATGACACTTGAATCCTCTCATTTTTAGAGACGTGTAAGCCTCCTAAACATAGACTTCTATTATTTTGTTACAATGACTGATGTCCTGTAGCTGTTGTCGTTACGTTATATGACTATAAGGACTATGGCAGCACTGTGGAGTCAAACAGCCACACTACTCAGGAATTTAAATATGTTATCAGTGTGGCCAAGAACACAGGTACTCACAGTTTCAGTTACTCAAGCTTAGTAGGGTTTATATTTTATAGACCTCTTCTCACTCTTTATCTTTTTTTTTTTTTTTTTTACTACCTGTGCGGCAAAAAATACAAGTGTAATTATAATTTTTTTCAGGTCAGAATACAATCCTTCAGTTGTTTCATGATGTTATACAGATTTTTGTATGTAATTCTTTTGTGAGTCAATGCTATTTCTACTTTGCTCTAAAGCTTAAAGATCTTTCAGAAAATTAAAATAATAACTAACTCAGAGCAATATTCAAAACTCATAATAATGAATGTTAGAGTTATCTCCTCTGCTGTACTCTTGAGTAATCTGAACACAAAAAGAGAATTAAATACACCAATGCAAAGAAATAGATTATCAAAAATTGATTTGGAAAGCTGGGAATAAAAATTTGATATTTTTTTCCCCGATGTTGTTTTGCTTAATTCTATGCCTTGATTCAGTGTCCCAAATAATTTTAGTTGAGGTTATGCAGATGAAGAGATGGGTTAAGCATATGTGTGTGAATTAAAGCACTCACCTGTTTCCATCCCATTATGCTACAGACTTGCTCTCTGTCTTTAAATAAGTCTCTTGATTTCTGTAGTTCAGAACACAGAGTTGTATGCTAAAAATGCTGCCTATGTCTTTATCTGCATTTGCTGTCTATCAATACAGTAGTAATGGGATTGCACAAGGTATGCATAGTGCTGAAGATTTTAGCACTTTGTGTTTTTTTTCTCAGTAAAATGGGGTTGATACCTGCTTATTTTACAGCAGTATCTGTGAGAATTAGTCTGTAAATCTGTGGTATTAGCTATTATTAACTTGAGGAGGTGGTGTGATGGGGTAAGTAGGATAATGGGCCACAGACTGAAGACCGGAATTGTATCCTTGAAGCTCTCACTGACCTATTTGCTCTCTGATAAGTCTTCCTGCCTCTTCTGTGCCTTCGGTTTTCTATACAAAATAGTTAGCGCTTACATGGTGAAAAGCACTGCGATATAAATGTTGTGATTATTATGACAGTAAAAGCTCTGTATGTTTTTTAATAAAAGCTATTGTACAAAACTAAGTAGCAGCTTCAAATGTGAGCATGTAGCATTTGCCTTAACTTTTTTTTTTTGCTATAATTTGTCACTTGTGAAATAGAAGTTTTTTGGATTAAGTTTTGGGTTTTTTTTTATTACTGAAATTTCTCCTCTTAGGGATATGTTACCTGTGTGCTCATTCATGCTGAACTACTGTATTTGTAGAATAA